CTGAGGAATAGACTTTCCTCCCAAAAATATCCAATTTTTTATTGTCCTTGTCCGAAAAGGTATTTCTGTACTGTGGCGCCTTACCCCTACGTTGCGCTGCGTCTACCACCAGTGAATTAGGATGGGGGTGATTGAATAAAAAGTCCAACCCCTTTGCTGGAACAAAATATTTTCTATCAGCTTTTTTACTTGTAGGTGCAACCGATGTTGGGATTTGCCATATCTCGTCCGCCACTTCCATAATCGCCTCATTGATTGGCAACGCGACTTTTGCACGTTGTTGTGGGCGGAGGTTCTTCAAAAGGCCATGTTTCTTAACAGGCACATCTGCTAGCTGTATGTCCTGCGTGTCTGCCACTCGTTTGAAGAGACCCTGAAAATGTTTCAGATCATCCGGTGAGGAGATTTCAACTGGGCAAATCGCTTCATCCGGGGAAGACGATGGGCAGTCCGCTGGGGAAGCTTCCGTCTTAGGGTCCTCTGTTTCCGATAACTGACCCTCCTCTGGTTCGGATTGGTCTAACTGGATTGTTGGGCTCTTAGTTGGAGAAGGTGAGGGCAGTGGTTGTGATCGATGAGGTAAGTATTCCGCTAACGGTGATTGGCAGATGTGAGAAGATCCCCTATGCAATGGTGGTGAATGGTGATGCTGGGGACGATCGACATATGATCTATGATAGCGCTCACAGTAACGTTCAGAGTGTGATGGAGAGGGGTATCGAGAAGAACATGCGTGACGGAGAGGGGTATCGAGAAGAACGTGCGCTACCATGCTGGATATAATAGACGCGGCATGGAGAGCACCTCACCGATCCGTACCTCGAGAGACGGGAGGGCGACCGGGATTGTGAACAGGACCGATGTGCATCTAAATACACCATGTCCCTATAATCGTGCCGGCTGTACCTAATCCGTGAGGGGGAAAAGTAGCCGTGATAGCGACTTCACCTTCTTGGTGAAGCAGATGGAGAAAGAGACCTGTCCCTATGATGGGTCTTTGACAATGACTTCCTATATGTTGAAGTCTCATCCCTAGCCCGAAGCACAGGGGAACCAGGCACCGAGTGAAGGTGAGATGGTACCGGAGAGGTCAGCTGATGATGATCTGGTGTCAGTGCCGGCAGGGCCCCCGGTGCCGGGGTTAGCAATGGTGCTGAGTCTGAGGTACTGGCGTGTCCCTCCTCAGGTCTCGGTGCTGGAGGAGACGGTGCCGATGTCACCGCTGGGGCAGGCGAAACAGGTGCCGATCCACTGGGTGTCGCTGAAACTGGTGCCGGGAGGCTGGTCAATTGCGGTGCCAGCGCGTTCGTCAATTTCAAGGAGCACGCAGCTGAAGCCGGTGCAGGCTTGCTGGTCAGCTGCGGCGCCGCTCCTGATATCGGCGCTGAAGCTGCTCTGCCTCTGGATGGTGAGGGCTCCTTTATGCCAGCCCCAGAAAGTTGTCTGGATCTCCCGGGGATCACTTTAGAAGCTGCTGCCGGGATTGAGACTGCCGCAGGGAGGGAGCGCGTCGGGGACGGATTTGACGTTTTGGAGCCAGCCGGTCCCGGAGAAGCCGCTCTCCTCTTGTGCTGGGAGATTTTTGTGGCTGCTGGAGGGGTAGGGTCAGGCTGCAATGCCTTACCAAACAAACATTCTTAGTTTCATCTCCCGCTCCCTCCAGGCTCTTGAAGTTAATTTGCAGCAATGGGTGCACTTGTCAGGGACGTGAGTCTCCCCCAGGCACCTAATACAAGTGTCATGGCTGTCAGCCATTGGCATGGCTTCACGGCACGCTGAACATTTCTTAAAACCAGTTGATCCTGGCATTTTCAGCAGTAAAAACTGATCCCTGTGGATAGTCAATTTCACCATTTAGCGCTTCGCTGCAGCGCTTCTTAGTGAAAACGGCTTTAAAGAATTTTTTTTTTTTTTTTACATGAGAACACCTATCAAGTAACAGGAACACAGCTAACACTAAAACTTTAACTATTTACAGGTAGACAACTATCTAAAACCATGACTGAAAAAGAGATCAGGGAGCTCCGACCGCGACCTGAGGCGGTTGAGAGGAACTGATGGTTGTCGGCTCGCACGGCTGATCAAAGGCGCGAACGCGATCCTAGTGAACTACCCATGCGGGAGCCGGCGGAGCGCGGCTATGAAAAGTCTCCGAGCCGCGGCACCGGGACGGGACACCTAGAGTGAAGCACCCACGGGGCCACTTGAAGAAGAAATACATGCTTTTACATACAGCCGTGCTGTTTGAAAGTGCGGATGGTGCGTTCGTAAGTCGGGGACGGCTGTAACAGGGTTAATGGGAGGTTGATCGTAAGTGCGGATGGTCATAAGTTGATGGGTTCATAAGTCGGGGACTGGCTGTATGTGATAAATTAACTATTACCTTTATTATTTTGCATATTGTGTATGCCAGTTCTAGATGAACACATCACAGATGATCTCCTGGGCACCAAAAGTGAACCAGGGGTAATCAGACTTCAGTGAAAATGCCCCCTTTTCCTGTCAAAATATCTGTATTAATAGTATCTCATGGGGGTTCACTTTTGTTTTGGCTGCTAGTGATATTTTGGCTAATTCATGTAGAATAAAATATTCACTGAGGGGGCAAATCAAGCGCCTTCACTTGATAAAGAAGGCAGATTTGGGCTGACTGATAATGCAATGTATTACCTGAGTCCCTGGACATTTTCTAGACAGCTGAACTGCTTCATTCAGTTTCATTCTCAAACCACCGTAATTGGTTTGGATATAAATTATCCGTGGAGCTAATAATAATGTTCACCTAAAATGAGCTGGTTCTTCCAAGAGAAGTTTGGCTAAGTAAAACAGTTCCTAGCTGATTACAGAAACTGCAGATAGAAGGAAAAGAGATCGTGCATTTATAACACTGATTGGAAGCATCAGCTGGGGAAGGGGGGGGGGCAGTATTTGTAAGTTTTTGCTTTTATGCACATTTGCAATATGAAAAATCCAACTTTTACTGAGCATGAGACCATGAGAAAATCAATGCCAGAACTTGCAATTTTTTAAAGTTGTGCTAATTAGAAAGATGTTTGTAAAAATCAAACCTTTAGACTCCATACATTTGTATCTTTTGATGTCTGACTTAGCTGTTGCTTCATGTCACTCAAGTCTTACCAAGAAAAGCAGAAGTTGGGTCCCCTGCTAGGCTGTCCGGGGGAGTTTGCCATCTGATCTTCTGAATAAAAGATAAAAGCCCTTGCATACTTTTTTCTTTGCAAGTACAGTACTATAATTTGGAAAGTGCCTTTATTCTAAACTCCACTCACCTGAGAAAGCGGCAGATATATGGAGCTAAGGCTGTTCTCTTTGAGTACCCTTTATTGCTAAGGAAACTGTATTTCTATTTTGTATGGAAAATAGAGCTATATTTATAAAAGCAAAGGCAGTGTCATTCAAGACATTCTCTTGAAGTACAACAGTCACTATTAAAACTTCACTATTGATCAAAAGTTATCACTCAGTGTTATCAAAGATGCAACAGTTCCCCTATCTATATATATAAAAGGAAAATCAGTATGATAAACAATGAATATTCATTTTAATAAAGATAATTTGATTTTCCCATGTATTTGTCATTTGAAAAAGAATGGTTTGCTCTTTTATCATTTTTTCTGTTTTTTAAAGAAGTTATGGCTAAAGTCATGAGAACCTGATATGCACAGAAAAGACTGCTATAATACTAGTGTTGGTGTTTCCTGCCATTCATACTACAGGTTGAACCTCTCTATTCTGGCATCCTTGGGACCTAACTGGTCCCAACCCAGAGAATTTGCCGAATTATGGGAAGTCTATATTATCTAGCAGTATTACCAACACTTCCTGCTTACTGGGTTGTTAGAGGACAGTAAGAGGTAAATTAGAGCTAAATAACAGCACATAACAATGAGATCTAGGATCTGTGGCTGTAGACAAACTTTATGAGACTGCGGGAAACTGTGCCACACCCATGGAAAGTAGACATCTATCTACTAAAATAATTCTGGACGACAGATGTTTCTGGATCAGAGAGTTCTGGACTAGAGAGGTTCAACCTGTAGATCAATTTGAGGTTCAGAGTCATAAGCAGAGTTATTGTGCCAGCAGAAAATGCTAAAAGGGAATCTGAATATTCCTACCATCAATAAAAACTTTAGCAAGACATTTTTCATAAGTGAAATTGAACTCCTGGGTGACCCTCCCCTGCTGGTAATCATTCATCAGATACTATCATGATTATTTAACAAGGAATCACAGCCTGTATTACTATGAAAAGTTTTGCAAATAATTTGTTACACAAAATAACATTGTAAATTGTGCATATGGATTGCAGGTCTGTTTCTTTTTTGGAATAATCCACTGTAATGTGGTATTAGTTCATTTCACCCTTAGGCAGGGACAAATAGGGCAGATATATATTAGATATCATTTAATTTAATAATCATGTAACTGCACAAATTCTTAGTGGTTACAATATTATTTGATGGTCCACAGGGGCAGGGCCAACACCCAGTGTGCTCCTAACTCCATTCCTAAGGAGCCTCCTGCCATCCCGGGTTGCTGCCTCTGATACAGAGGCGCGGGGAAGGGGAATGTGTATAGTCATTTGGATTGACCGATAAGCCCAGGTAATGAATATATAGCACTGAAATATATATTCATTACTAAACCTGGTACCTATGTTAATTTGCCAAAACCTGTAACCTGTGTCATTGTGCCAAGTTTTCAAATGTTTACCAAGGAATAATAGATGTTTGTGACTTTATGAAAAGTTTGCTTTGAAGATGTTCATTTGCTTCTGTGACCTTTTGCTGGTGAATATATAGTTCATCAGCATACTGGAAGAGCCTCCAAGTCAAGGCAGTTCCAGAAGAAAGAAGGCAGGATTCCAGGAAGTTATTGGAAATGGAATAAAGAACAACGCTTGGAAAAATCAACAGAGTGCTATGCACAGACTATTTTACAGATACCCTGTGTTTTGAGGACATTAGATACTTTACCTCTTTTTCTTTAAAAGCAGAGTCACAGATGTTTGAGAAAGAGTTCTTCTTCTCAGTATCTATCGCTGACAAAAAGACTGAAAAATGGTTCTGGGTTTTCTCCCAATGCTTTCTTTCCAAACCTAGTCTTCTCCCCAGCATGTATGTCCCAGTGCTCTGTAGGAGACTAGATTTTCCCTGAAATGCAGGGAACAGACAATGAACCATTCTATTATTTCCCCCCAAGTAGCAGCTTTTAAGTCCCTACTTTCCTTATATTGAAATTTTTAAACACTTTTTTCTACCCTTTTTCACTGGTTCATTGATTGAAGTGTATACATGTATTGCAAGTGTACTGTTTTACTAAGTAGCCACAGTGTTTTTTTTATTCACACACTGCTAATAGTTGAGGCTCAAAGACACTCCAGTTGTTACTCTAAGGGTGAATTTGACCCACAATATTTAAATTTTAGGGTTTTAACAGCTAAAACCAGTGATGTTCTGGGTTTTTTCACTTGTTTACCATTCTTTCAATGTGCAATTAATGTACATCAAGTCATTAACTAAACTGCAACATTAGCTTGGCAAATTTTTGTATTTACAGACCTTTTTCTTATCTTCCATAATCTTTGCACTGATATATACATTTTTGGATCCTCTCCTTCCAGAACTGGCAATGAACTAAGAGAACTTAAAGAGTAGGAAAAGCAAAACGTAGAAGACAACAACAATAATGCTGGAGAAAGTGAAAGTACAACTTCTACAGAGCTGGAGAACAGTAGAGTGCAGTTCAGAGAGTAGGCAAGTCCCCGTTCTAGCCTTTTGTAAAACTTGTAAGGATGATTTTGCTGTTGGCCACAATAAGTTCTTCAATGTGTTGAGACATGAAAAGTCAAGAGAAATGCCAGAGTGCAAAGCTCGCTGCAGGAAAAAAGATGACTCAGTTCTTTGTTTCACAAAGCATGTCAAAGACATTATAAAGTGCTTACAGATGCGCAGCAATTCAGATTGCCTGATTGCCTGAACATTTGAAACCATGTAATTCTGAAGAGAAGATGCTGTGCTTCATGCAATGGAACATTTTCTGTAAAAACAGGACTATGTATTACTGTGAAAGGGAAAAGAGAATTTTTTAAAATTCAACTTTCAATTTAAATAGATAATTGTGCCTTAAAATGACCTTTTATGTCAACCTGAAAGAACCTTTTCTAGAATTATAGAATCAGGATTGTAGAACTGAAGGGACTTTGAGAAATCTTCCAGTGCAGTCCCCTGCACTCAAAGCAGCACTAAGTACAGTATTATGGAGGGCCACTATAGTGGCTAAACACTCAATCGGCCAAATAACCACTTTGTTCAAGCCAATTAGCAACACTCAACGGGCCAAATAGCCACATATGGCTAGTGGCTAGCGTGTTGGACACCATGAATCTAGACCATCCCTGACAGGTGTTTATCTAACTTGCTCTTAAAAACCTCCAATGATGGGCTGTCTAGACTACATCCCTCCTTCGAAAGAGGGATGTAAATTAGCCATATCGAAATTGCAAATGAAGCCAGGATTTGACTTTCCCACGCTTCCTTTGCATAATTGCGTCACGGCATTTTTTCGAAAAACGCTATTTCGAATGTGAAACCACAGTCTAGAGGCAGTTCTTTCAAAAACAAAAACTTTTTTCGAAAGATCCTGTAAACCTCATTTTTTGAGGAGTACAGGATCTTTTGAAAAAGGCTTTTCTTTTTGAAAGAATCGTGTCTAGACTGAGGTTTCACTTTCAAAATAACATTTTTAAAAGAAACACCATGATGCGATTATGTAAATGAAGCGTGGGAAATTCAAATCCCGGCTTCAGTTGCAATTTCAATATGTCTAATTTACATCCCTCTTTTGAAAGAGAGATGTAGTTTAGATGTACCCATGGAGATTCCACCAATTTCCTCAGGGAATTTATTCTAGTTCATAACCACTCTCAGAATTAGGGAGCATTTCCTAATGTCCAACCTAAACAGTCCTTTCTGCAATTTAAAGTAATTGCTTCTTGTCCTAACCTCAGAGGTTAAAGGAACTGTTTTTCTCCTTCTTGCAACAACCATTTACATACCAAGACAGATGCCCAAGACAATAACATCAAGGCAGAAGCACAGCTGAAATATAGTTCTTTCTGCTAAAAATCAATATGCTTGGGCCAATTCCTGAACTCTACCACTGAGGCAAGACTATTACTTATGTAAATGAAAATGCTGACTGAGGAAGAACTTCTAAATGTGGCCCAATGTAACAGGGAAAACAGAGAAAATCCTTGGATTATACCATAAAAACTTCGTAAATTTTACTCTCACAATCTGTTGGGATGCATAACTTTAATTGTTGAGCAAATATCATTGGTCTTTTCATCATCCTTCAAAACATCATGACAAAGAATGGGCAGCAGAGTATGACTGGGCTGATAAATTTTCATGACCATTTGATAAGGCTGAGGTGCAAGATTTTTGGGGGGGGAGGGGCTTGAAGTCTATTAAAAAACTGTATTCCTTACTAAAAACACTACATTATTTATTATTATTATTATTATTAATAAAATAATGACATTACAAATTAAGAAATAAGGATACAGAAAATGATGTGTTATGACTAAATAATTATCACATCAAGATACTGTCCTATACAACTATATTAGTCTCTATGTCAAATTGCTCAGTAAGAGAATGTTTAGCTACCTAAGTAATCTAAATGGATTTGAGATTCCTCTAGAGAATCTTATTGCATATTCATCTCAGAAAGAGGCCAGGAATGATTGACAGATTTTGGCAAGTTTGTGGATGTAGAACCACTAAAAACAATAATACAATTTTAGCCCAATGGCTTACATAAAGGCAATCTGTGTCAACTGCAGCAGGTGAATTATTGGTCCTTTTTACGGATATAAATAGCAAAACCAACAATATTAGCTAACTTCCAAAAATGACAGTTAATTTTACACATAAAAATAGAATCAAAGCACTGGAAGGAACCTTGAAAAGTCGTCAAGTCTAGTCCCCTGTACTCACGGTAGGATCAACCACCATCATCCCTATGAGTAAAGTAGCTTCTCGCTGGATGAAGAACAGAACAAGTATGTTATGTAAGCTAGTCAAAACACAGATACTCAACAATGTTACAGTTTGTAACAGTCAATCCTACTGCATCAATGCATATCAGATAAGAAGCCAAGTCATCAATACATGTTTGACATAAAAGCAGTAAAGTCACAGGATACAAAAAGCTGTGATCCATGTTTTCATTTTTACACTAGACATTGTTTGCATTTAGTAATTCTTTCATAGCTTGCCAGTTACAACATCAAGTCACAACATTCTGAACCAATGACCATCACATTCTCATCTCCTTGGACACACAAAGCATCAAAGAGAATAGTGAATATGGAACTCTCAAACATTTTGCAAACTACATTTTTGACACAGTTGGCAAACTTGTTGGCATGCTTAACAAAAGGGCAAAGAACTGAACAAGATGAAAATTCAACTCTCTCTCAATGCCAATGGTAGACTCTCCAAAATAAGTTTGAACCACATTGCAAGTTTCCCCCCTACTGATCTGATATTAATATTAAGAAGGGCTCTGTGAATCCTGAAATCTTGTCTGTCTCACTAAACAGAAGTCCAAGCAGTAAAAGAGATCCACCTACTTTTGTCTTTCTAATGGTCAGTAACTGTGCTTTATATGTTTTCTGGGCTATTTAATAAGCACATATAATGGCTATCCAGTCACTTGGACATTTTTTTTCCTGTTTTAAAAAAAAATACTTTCAGATAATCAGCCAACTTTTCAAAATTAAAATAGTGATTTTTTAAAAGAATAGTATCAGGAGTAACTGTAAATCTACTGTGCTAATATCCTCCCAGAGTTTGATGTATTTGTCTTTGTGATGGGGCAAGGTAGCCCCGCACTGAGCCTGCAGGGCCCAGCCAGGGTTACCTGGCTGCAGAGGCCCCTTCCCCGCAGCCCTACCGAGCATGCCCGGACTGTAGCTCCGCCATAAAAGCCTGGGGAAAGACTCAGTCAGGGGTGACAGCCGGAGGAGAAGGACCTGTGAAGGGAGCTCCCGCACAGCTGGCACCCGAGACTCCAGAGGAGGCCGGTGGGGATGCGGAGGCGAGGTGGTACCCCCCAGAGACTGCCCGCCAACGAGACACCGACCCGGAGGCCACAACAACCTGGACGGGCATGGGAAGGAACCCCAGTGAACCAGGTAGGAAGTGGCCCAGGGCAGGAGCGGGAACCGTCTCTCCCGCCCTGAGAACCGTGGCGCGTTTTGGCCGGATTGCCCTGCCGAGTGACCCGCTATCCGGTCACTCACAAGGCCCTGGGCCAGGACCCGGTACAGTAGGGTGGGCCTGGGTCCCCCTACCAGAGGGGTATCCCCGCTACAACCCTAAACTGTGTTTGGACTCAGGCCGGAGGGCCTTGGCCTTGCCTCAAAGGGCCAGACTTACACTGTGTTTGGACTTAGGCCGGAGGGCCTTGGCCTTGCCTCAAAGGGCCAGACTTACACTGTGTTTGGACTTAGGCCGGAGGGCCTTGGCCTTGCCTCAAAGGGCCAGACTTACACTGTGTTTGCCCGCCATAGTCTTCTTCACTTGATATCCTGAATATGGAATCACTGAAACAGAACAGAGGATAAATGTCTTTCCGCTTAAAAAACCCAACACAGAGTGACCCGTCTCAATGTTTTCTTTTGATAAATGCTTTTGTTTCACCGCGGCATTTATGCTGAGATCATTTTTCAGACATACCGTTTGCTTCCCCAGGCTTTCTTACAAGATTCAGCAAAATATTTGTTTCTTAACTGCGCTTCCAAAATCTAATTTTCATGAAAAACTTCCAATCGTAGATAATTAGCACTACCGGTGCCAAGTGTGGCTAGCTAGTGGATCAATACTTGGTAAAACACTTTGCTGATTATTTGATAGCAGAAATAATCATGGCTTCCAAGGTACTCCTCTCAAATCATACAATATAATGCACTCTATAAAGATATCTAGCATCATTTCTGAGACAGACTAATTCTGTAATAAGTGATCTTGAGTATTTTTCATTTTCAAGCTACTGAATTTTCACAATTATCTGAACTAGAACTTGGTATGTGAGTTCATCCCCAACATTGCTACAAACTCACTATGTATCTTTGGGAAAATTA